GATGATTTTTAAATAAAAAAATTTAAAAAGGGGTGTTGTAGAAAATAAAAAGTGTTGGCTTATATTATATTATTTATTATCCTATGATTATCACAATGCTATTATTAACCTGCTATCACAAATAATAAGACACAGACACCTGTTAGATTTATAATTGTCTTATTGAGCTTGGGCCAGGCCTCCTCTCTTCCTGTCCCTCCCTCTGTTTCCTGTGATTCTCTCTGTCCTCTCCAACCTGGGAACCAGCCACACCTACTGCATTCTGCCCTGCCTACGTATAGCCATTTAATTAGCCAATCAGGTAGGTTTACACAACATGGATAGGTGTACCCAGATCTTGAGAACTAGTAACATTCGTCAGACCAACCTCCAACAAAGAAGGATAAGAGCAGCACATGCATTTTTTTAAAAAATATATTTATTTAGGGCTTATGTGTATGCGGTTTATGGAATGGAGAGCTGGGGAAAGCTGTGCGATTATCAGATTATTCTTGAAGCTGAGATGCTAGTTTCTTTTTGCCATATATAAGGACTGCGAGCTAAGAGAAAAACAGCATTCCAGAAAGCTGAATGTCAAGATGAGAGTAGCTTTCACTGGAATGATGATCAGAGATTATAAAAAGCACCATAGGAATCATGTATTACCTATACAGATCTCTGATCCGTACTACTCAGTAGGATAACCATGGATTTTAGTTGTATTGCTGCATAAAATGAAAAAAAAAAAAGCTATTTCAAAACTTATCAATCTGGACATTCTACTGTGTGTGTGTGTGTGTGTGTGTGTGTGTGTGTGTGTGTGTGTGTGTAGTTATAGGAGTGCAGGTCCCTCTGAGGCCAGAGGAGTCATATCCCCCTTCAGCTAGACTTACAGAAAGTTGTGAACCATCTGACAAGGGTGTTGGGAATTAAACTCGGGTCCTCTGGAAGAGCAGTATGCACTTAACCACTAAACCTCTTTCCAGTCCTGTAAATACAACTTTTATCAATTATGAAAGATCTCAGTGGCTTTAAGAGAACATTCGTTCATGATTCTGTTGGTGGTTCTTAGACTGTGTCTGCGATTTAATGAGGTGAGCCATGCATCGGCACTCTAGTTTGGCAGGCAAACTAGAATCTGGGTTCTGAGGATGTCTGACATGACGTCAGGAGACACGAACCTGATGCCTTGGTTGAGAGTCGCAGAGTAGCTGTCTGCAACTGTTGCACCCCTGTATCCCTTGCTCTCTGCCACAAGGGAGCTGCATCTCTTCCCATTGTGATCCAGGGTTCTAAAGACAGCCCAAAGCTGCAGATCTCTTCAGGTCCGGCCTCAGCAGATATAGAGTGTTCCAATGGAATGAGTGGTCCAGCAGCCAGTTTTAAGGGAAAGGGAATTATGCTCTGCCTCATCTGGGAGAAGGTACACACGAGGCAAGAGCGACTGGACCACTTTCTGAACACAAACTTGTTTCTGTGTGTTGAGATACTGCATTTCTTTTCATCTTTGTTTCCCCCTCCATTCTACTCTAAAGGTCACTGACTGAACTTCAAGAAGACGAACCCATCTTGTGGGAAGTTGGCCTCTAAATGTATTCTTTGTCCATAGCATGGAAAGATAGTAGGCAGAGCACTTGGATGGACCAAGTTACAGTGATATTATCTATGTGTTTTTTTTTTAAAAATGTAAGGTTAGTCACTAAATTGCCTTTCTTTTCCAATACCTACAATTGTTTCTATTTTTAAGTTTAACACACATACATAATATGAATTCTCTTACCTAGCTTAAAGTAATACAGTATTATTTTATTCCTCGTGAACAGTGAACTTCACATTCGGATCCTCGTTGGCTATCTCTTCAGCTTTCCTTAGACTATCTTGAATTTTTCTCTTTAGAAAATAAAGCATGCAGCTTTGAAATCATTACATATGGCGTGAGACATGAGTGCTTCGTGTCAGCATGTTACTCTGTTAGCGACTGGCTTCCTTTCCTCATCGCTCAACTTCTTAGCCCACGTTGCTCTGAAGCCCCCATCTGCGTGTATAACTGGCCATTTCTATTTTTACTCCCTTGTGTATTAAATTTGTGCATTAAACATAAAATTACTTTTATGTTGCGTGCGTTCTCTTCTCCTAGTCTCAGAATAGTTTAGTATGTCTGCTTTTACTTATCTATTTCGTGTTAACAAATCACTCCAAACATAAAAACACTCCAGACATTTAGTGTCTTGCAGAGTTTCTAAGAGTTGGGGGCTGTGGGAGGAAAGCAGCTCATCCCTCTGATGGAGCAGAGTCAACATCTTGGCCTCGGCTTGTGGTGAGCAGGCCGTCTGAACACAGCTCTGTTCACTCAAATGGTTGTTGGAAAGTTGGCTGTTGGTACAAAGCCTCGGCCGCTGAGCATGGAAACATCCCAGCCAGCAGGGCCACTGGAGAGCAGAGAAGGTAGTCCAAGGGAGTTCAAGGTGGAAGACATGGTGTCTTTTATGACATAGCCTCAGAAGTCACACTTGATCATTCCACAGTAACCTGTCGTCACTAGGGCCAGCCTCATGCAGTGGGGAAAGGGAATTAGACTACCACAAGGTGAGGACATTGAGGGTCATGGCTGGCTTCTGACTGTCTGCTGGGTCTTTGCTTATTTTCCTGTCCATTTAGTCTTATTTAATCTCTCCCTACTCCTTTTCCAAATTATTGTCCTTCTAATAATAGATCCTATGCCCACCTAATTGCCAACTACCCTAAACATAATCTGAGGTTTCTCAGACATTTCCATGTTTATGTTAGTCTAAATTGGCCTTCTGAACACTGACTTATGTTAGCTGTCTTTCTTCATGTTTTCTTTGTATGTTTTAGAACCCAAGGCTATTTGAAATTTAAATTTGGGGGAGTGTCATATTTACGTACGTATGGTAAAAATATACAACCAATCTCAATAAGGAGAGATCTCCTGCACTGATATCGTCAGTTTCCTTCCCATGTTCAAAATTCTAGAAGCCAGTTTTATGCTTTCTTTCCATTTGCTCATGACACGACAGTCCAGAATACCGACTCCATTGCCTGTATTTGGATTTGATCTGTTGGTATTTTATTAAGGATTCTGGCATTGTATTCATGGGAATATTAGTCTGACCTTTGGTTGTAACAATAACTGGCCTTATAAAGTGTATTGGGAAGCATCATCAACTTTGAAGAGGGTTTTTTTTTTTGAGTTTGTGTTCATTCATATATACGTGTTTAGTTGAATTCACTAGCCAAGCTATGTAGTATTGAAGTTTTCCTTTTGTAAGGTTTTAATTAGTATAGTGCCTTTCTTAGATACAAGGTCATTAAGCTAACATTTCTCCTTGAATAATCTTTGCTATTTTGTGTTCTTAAAAGATATTGCATGTTTTGTCCAAGTTGTCCAATTATTCTTGCTCATAATATTATTTTCTTCCCCCCCCCAAGTTTCTGTGAGTCTACATTTGAGCCCTCTTTGAATTTCTGACATTGATCATTTGTGTTTTGTTTTTTTTTATATATAGTTTGTGTTTTTTGATATGGTTGCTTTAACAGTCTACTAGGATTTTGTCAGTTGTATTGTTAGTTTCTGAACACTTCTTGATTTTATTATTTTTGCCTTTTCTCTCTTGTAATCTTTATCAGTTTACCCCCTTTTGTTGGTTTACAGTTTAATTTGCTCTTCTTAATATTGGTATAGCTGGGTCTTGAGGTAGAGCTAGTTTCAATTTTCTGAGAAAGCACCAGGTTTATTTCCAAAGTGGTTGTATAAGTTTGCACTCCCACCAGCAATGGAGGCATGTTCCCCTTTCTGCACATCCTTGCCAGCATGTGTTGTCACTTGAGTTTTTGATCTTAGCCGTTCTAATGGGTGTAATATGGAATCTCAGAAATATTTTGATTTGCATTTCCCTGGTGACTAAGGATGTTGAGCATTTCTTTAAAGTGCTTCTTGGCCATTCAGGATTGCTCTGTTAAGAATTTTGTTTAGCTCTGTACCCCACCTTTTAATTGCATTATTTGGTTTGTTGGTGTTTAATTTCTTGAGTTCTTTATATATTCTGGTTATTCACCCTCTGTTGGATGTAGGATTGAGGAATATCTTTGCCTAGTGTGCAGGCTCCCGTTTTGTTCTATTGACAGTGTCCTTTGCCTTACAGAAGGTTTTCAGTTTCACGAGGTTCAATTTATTAATTGAAGATCTTAGAGTCTGAGCTGTTGGTTTTTGGTTCAGGAAGTTGTCTCCTGAGCCAGTGAGTTCAAGTCACAGTTCAAGGCACACAATGAGTTCAATGTTGAGGTCTTTGATCCACTTGGATTTGAGTTTTGTGCAGGGTGCATTTTTCTACATGTTAGTATCCAGTTAGACCAGCACCATTTGTGGAAGATGCTTTCTTTTTTCCATTGTATGGTTTTGGCTTCTTGGTAAAAAATTAAGTGTCTGTAAAATCAAGGTATGTGGGTTTATTTCTTCATCTGTCCTCATTTGATCCTCTGAAAGGCTTTTATATTGTACTTTCTGTGTTTATTTTGGTATTTGTGTTTAATCAGTCTCTTGTATGTAAGACTACAGGCTGCCTCAGCATTGATTTAAATATACCATTCAGTGAGTTTGTGAGAGTAGAGTCTTCCCCGACCTCATTGTAGCTTTTTTACCAAAACACCAAATACAGCATTCTAAGTTGTATTTTCTTATTGTTCTTAATAAGTATTTTCTAATATATTGATGAGCATCCCCGTGGTATATGAAATACCATACTGAAGAAGGAAAGCGTGAACCATACCGATGTTGTGACCTCCCAAACAACCTTACAAAGTCACCAGTTAATGCACTACAATGTATCCAAAGGATCAATACTTTGACATGTCATCAGTTTTTTATTGTGTTAATTGTAATTCATACCCAGAAGACTATTCATTTATTTTTGAAGAATTGTTTCCATTGTGAGATTTAAAGTCTCTTTCCAAAAGGCAAGGAATTAATGTTTGTGTATTTTACAACCTTCCCTCACCTACAGATGCAACAGTTGGAGAGACAAGTTATGGATGCGGAACGCCAAGCGGAAAAGGCTTTTCAACAGGTAGAGTAACCTTTTCCTGCCTCCATGCATATAAAGATTGTTTAGCTCAAGGAAGTAGGACGGCTGTCAACCTTCCTGGAATACTTTATCATTTTGACTATTCATGGGCTCAGTCTATAGAGTGGAAAAATTGAACTCTATTTTGTTCCTTTATAGATTTTTCAAGAGGGAAAAGGACTTTGATTAGAATATATTATGCTACTTTAATAGTAATCCTAACTACAATTACGTTTTATATATAAATATGTTCATATCAGCTTTATATATAGTAATAAAGAGCTGAAAATTATATGAATTCCATATTGTGGAAGAATGAGTAAGTAAACTCATGGACTGTTAAACAATTATTTCAAATTGTTTTATTAAAATTAATAGAAAAGCTCGCTTAGAATTATATTAGAAAAATAAGTACAAAATTGTGTGGTTCTTATATTAATGTTTGTGAGTAAGGAAAATCAGATCTGTGAGTTTAAAAATAGTCTGAGAGGAAACTAGAAATTTGCTTGAATTGTGATATTAATTTTTTTTCTGTATTTTCATCCTTTTTTTATACAACTTTGATTCTTTGGATGATGATTTGGTATGTCACTGAGCCCTTTCTGGGCCTTAAGAACAGTAGAGTGGGTGGTGTGGATGGGCACACTTACCCTGAAATTCTTCAATGATCTTAAATCCATAGCTTCTCATTTTATGAAAAGATCTTTATTGCAGTCTGAAAACCAATTCCAAAAGGTCATCGTTATTCTTTGGTTTTGCGCCCTTTAGAGGTGTGCTTCCTCCTTTAAACTCAAGACTACGTTAGAATTTATATAGCAGATTGTTAGAGTGGCTTAACAGATTTCTAAGCAATACTAATCCAACCTAATCCTTGCTTTCCTACTTATATTTGAAAAGAAACCTTAAGATTTTATTACATAAAACTTCAACCATATGCAAGAGTAGAGAAGACAGTACCATGGGGTCTTTCAGGGGCTACTTGTGCTTTGTCTTACCACTAGTCACGTGTTCCCTGCACTCATCCCTACACTGGACTGCTTTGAAGAAGCCAGAGCCAGCTGTCGTACAATCGCACCCCGAGTCAAATTGAAAGAAATCAAAGCCACTAAACTGCTGAACCATCTCTCTAGCCCCATGTTTGTTTTGTTTGTTTGTTTGTTTGTTTGTTTAAATTGGGGTGAAGTTCATATAATATAAAATTAACTATTTTAAAACAGACGATTCACAATTTTATAACGCATAATTATATTACTCACAATTATTATACAAATCAGTTTAACTCCAAATTGTTTTCATCGTTTCACAAAGAAACATGTTGCCATTGTGCTTTTAGCGTCGCTCCCCCTTCCCCTCAAGCTCTGGCAGTCACAGCCTGCTTTCTGTCTTTTTGAATTTACCCTCTCTGCATAGAAAGGCAGGGCCTTGCTCTGGGGGCCAGGCTGGCCTTGAACTTGCAGTTCTTCTGCCTCGTCCTCCCCAGTAGGTGTATTTACAGCTGTGTGCCACCACACCGAGACAGGATATTTCTTATAGAATTATTCATGGAATATGTGATTTTTGTGTCTAGCTTCTTTCATTTAGTACGATAATTTTGATCTATGTTATATATATATCACGTTTTGTTTATTCATCTACTGATGGGCATTTCAGTTGCCTCTGCCTTTTGGTTAGTGTGACCAGTGAGCATGTACATGTATTTGCTTGAGCACCTGTTTTTATTTCTTATATTATCTTATAATATAATACATACTATTTATTATTAAAATAGCCATATATGCAAATACTGTTCTCCTCATTTTTGAATGACTGGCTTATTCAAATCAATATCAGAACTAGATTAACCCATTTCTCTTGATTTCATTGATTTTATTCTATGTGGTCATTTTTATTTCTTTTGTTTCAGTATTTGTTGAAGGTACTGGTTTGGTTTTTCTTCTCAAGCTTTCTGCCTTCTGGATTTTGCTTATACCTTCCCATGGTGCTATTTAACATGATGTTCTGTGTCATCATTTTCTGTCAAATGTAGCTAAATCTTAGCATTTTACTTCCCCACTTTTGTCTTACCTTTCTCCAGTACTGCCTTTTCGGTGGATTGCACACCTGTATCAAGAGACTCACAATGTCTAGCTCTCTTTTTCTGTATTAATAGCAGCCGTCGATGATTTGCATACTCACACTTCTGCAGATATGTGTTCTTCTCTTTCTTGGTTAGACTCTGAAATTCCTATGTCATCAGTTGGCAAGTAGTTCCTTTAGTAAATATTGACAGAGTTTTCTAAAGCGAATGTGTCAGGCAGCATTGCTACTGTCAGTGGATAAGAATTCTCAATGCCAACAAAGCCAGCATTTCTCATTGCCATTCATTTTAATTTTGCCTATTCTTGCCCTGCTAATTTGCGAAGAATGCTAATCTAAATTCTCATTATTGGCTTGGCAAGTAGATATACATAAAACATTCCAGTTCCATAAGTCAATTCGATCTTGTTCAGAACTTAATCTCTTGAGATCTTAGAATGATCCTTGCCTAGAAAAACAAATAAACTTACCTTATGAAAATGGCCCATTGAGTTTACCAACATAGAAAAAGAGTGTGGGGTATGACATGAGAAAGGTCAGTGTCACCCCTGTAAAATGGTGGTCCAGGCGGATACTGGGGCTAGTTCTAACTCAGTGTTTTTTCGGGGTTCTTGGAGAACAGTTTCCCAATTTACAAACAACAGTGTTTTGAGCACTTAGAATGAAAACTCAGTGTTTGAGTTGTAGTTACCCTCTCCTCCTGTCCCTCCCCTTTCCCAGAGACATCGGGAAAATGAGACCAAAGGTTGCTAAGGAGAAGTCTGTGCAGTGAAAAAGAAGTAACGATGGAATTCACATCTCTGCCTTAGGAACAGACTTAAGTTTTTAACTGGGTTAAAATCCAACATCTACCAGTTTTTGGAAAACTCTTTTGATTAGAGTGTCAGGTTTGTCACTTACAACATGCAACTACTATTGACGGCAGCCAAACTCTGTAGGAAGTGAGGATTTGGGGCAGTGGCTGAAGGTCTCGGACTCTGGAGTCAAACTGCCAAGTTTGGTCAGCCTGCATCTCCTACCGCTTTGCTTTGGCTTTCTATCTGTGAAGTGTGCAGTCTCGCGTCTGTCTCAGAGGATGCGTAGACACCGAGTCGGTAAAGTACTGCACACTCATGGTTTCGGTTATACACAGGGAAAGGAAACGGACCTAAAATCCATAAGATAGGCAGGGCCCAGGAGCACCCAGGTCTGCACTTCGAGTCACTCTCCCAGCGAGGTCATGGGGGGGGGGGGTGCTCACTCCTCCCATCAGTGTTGCACGGGCAAGATTTACAAAGCATCGCCTGTGCCAAACCCCATGAGGCTGGGTGGGCAGGGAGCAGTCTTGTCGGCCTGAAGTGTTCATGGGACTGGTCTTAGTTCTGCAGCTCTAGCTTTGCCCATCCCTCCGTCCTTTGCCAGGGTCACACTGGGCACAGGGCGGTCCGACAGCCTGAGGGAGCAGCAACAGATACTCCTGTGGCAGTGATTTGAGTAAGAATGCTCATCCACAGACTTGTGTATTTGAACACTTGGTTCCCAAATGGTGGTACCGTTGGTGGAGGCTTTGGAGGCATGGCTTTGCCGGAGGAAGTATGGCATTGGCAGTGGGCAGTGGGACATTAATGCCTCACCTTGCCCACTTTGCTCTCTCTTCTTCATGCTTGCAGTTTGAGACGTGCTCTTAGCTTCCTGCTCCAGACACCATGCCTGGCTGCTGCCATGCCTCCCTGTCACCATGGTGATGGACTTTTATCCCTTTGGAACCATAAGCCCAAATAAACCCTTCTTCCTATGAGTTGCCTTGGATATGGAGTTTTATCACGGTAAAAGAAAGGTACCCAATACAACTGTCAAGCACATGGTCAGAATTGTTCTGATGTCCCCCAAGATGTCAGATAGTCAAGGGAGTCTTGTCTATATGGATGTCCCAAGGTTTCAGAGGTCACCCACACCAGTCATAGGCCAGGCCTATCCTTTGGTATCCGAGCAGCTCAAGGCTGCCTGAGCTCGTTCTTTGATGAAGAGTAGCTTAGGGATTTCAGGATCTAAGAGACTTGGGGGAATGGTTGAAGGGTATGCTGAGTGGAAACAACTAGGAGCTTAACGAGAAGAAAAAGAGAGAAGCTCCCTGAAAGTATACAGTATCCTATACTCGAGGGCGTATGTCTAGATATTTGAGAGAGTTTATCTAAACCAATTTTGATTTTTTTCAAAGATTTATTTATTTTTGTTTTCTGTAGATTGGTGTTTGCCCAAATCTCTGTGTGAGGGTGTTGGAGCCCCTGCAACTGTGATTAGGAACAGTTGTGAGCTGCCACGTGGGTGCTGGAACTTGAACCCGTGTCCTCTGGAAGAGCAGCCAGTGCTCTTAACTGCAGAACCACCTCTCCAGCTGCCTAGTTTGTTTGGCACTGGTCAGTCTGAGAAGCTAAAATTTTTGTATGGTTAAGGTTAAATGAACGGAAAAAGACTGGGCTGTTTTCCGTGTGCTGGTGGTGAGGTAGTTTAAAAGGCTGTCTGTTTCCTCTGTAAACTCTCAGTGTAGACATCTTATTCATAGTGATTACCACGGAAGGCTGGGAGTCCTGGTCATGACGAGGCCAACAGGCAAGCAGGATGCTGGTGACTATTTTGTGATTCTTTTCGAGACTTTGCACATCTGCCAATATTTGTCTTGCCTCAGAAACTCACTTCTCCACAAAGAAATAGTCACTTTGAAAAGTCTCAGATGACAGTGTTTCATCCAAGGGTCTCTGTGGTGTTTACGCATAACACAAGAATATGTTCTTTGGAATAAAGACACAGTTCCAGGTCCTAGCACCCAGAGCTATGGTAATATGGCAAATAACCTTCCTAAGTAACAAAAGGGCAGTTTCATATGGAAACTAAATGTAGTTGCTCTGACTTAATAAAAGCAGACTATAGGTGAATGTCTGTCTCTAATCTCACATGGTTCTGGGTAATCGGACCTTGCATTTCTGTGGCAAAAAACCTGAGAGAAACTTTTCAGGAGAAAGATTGGTTTCTGGCTCATGGTTTCAGTGTGTGGTCAGCTGGCTCCCAAGATGAGGCAAGCGTCATGGCAGAGACAAGCAGAGATGCTTATTGGATAGCCAGGAGGGCGGGAAGAGAGAGGAGAAGTGGTGAGGGAGGAGAGGAGAGATGGAGAGAAGCAGGCACACGCCGAACATATAAGAATGCCACCAGGGAACAAACACTTCAAAGTCATGCTTCCGGATGGGTCTGCCTTCGACCACGGCCCACCTTTCAACAGTAACGCCATCGGATTAGTAGTCCATCAGTGGACTGAGTTATTACTGAAGTCAGAGCTCTCAGGATCCAACTACATCTCAGTGGCTGCATCTGCATCTACAGGTCTAGAGCGAGCCTTCAATATGCGAGCACTTTGGGAGCTACGTCATAGCTACACTGTAAGGTCTGTAGTCTGTTCACACTTTCCCTCTCTCTCTGGCGTGTGTGTGTGTGTGTGTGTGTCAAGGTCAATGTCAGGTGTCTTCTTCAATTACTCTCTTCCTTTAAAGTCTTTAAAAATTTATTCTTTGGTAACTTTACAGATGAATACATGTAGTTAGATCATATCCACCCACGCCAACTTCCCAACTCCAGTTTCTCCTGGACCTCCCCTCAGCAAGCCCCCCTCCCCTTACTCGGTCGTGTCGTCTTCCTCCCCCAGCTTCTTTTTCTTCTTCAACCCTGAGTCCATTTAGTCCGGTTATGCACGCGGGTTTAGGGCATCGCCCGCTGGACCACTGGCATCCAACCATGGGCCCCATCCTGAAGAAAACTGACTTTGCGTCTCCCAGTGGCCATCTGGGAGAAACTGAGCTGCACCTCAGTTTACTCACTCTGACTACTTGTGATTCTCTTAACCTCAGTCCGCCGCCTACAGAGGCTTCTTCGATGAGCTCTGCCTTGTTTTTTGAAAGAGTCTCTCACTGAACTCAGAGCTCATGGATTTGGCTAAACCTGTGAGCAGTGAGCTCCAGGGATCTACCCTTCTCCAAGAACTGGGAGCTGCCACGCCCAGCTCTTACGTGGGTGCTGGGGATCCGAACTTGAGGCTTCGTGCTTGTTTTCAGACTCCTAACTGACTGAGCCTCTCTGGCTGCACTTGTCTTTCTGGAGGTCGCCTTCTGCTACTTCATTCTCAGAGAGGAACTGACATATTTAGCTCCACTCTCTTCCTACTTCTGTAGCTACAGAATATCCTGTTTATAACTGGAACAAATGTTTGGAGATTGAAGATTGAGTATTTGCTGTTTGTTTTTCTCTTTCTGGGCTATTTTTCATGGCAGATTTCTTAGGTAAACCTTTGTGTTTGGTATGAATTTTTATGGCTCATACAAAAAAAAATCACTGTTTTATTAAGGCCACTTAAATTATTATTTTAAAAACAGGATATGTTTTTCTCTTCTGCTTTTGTTCTTCAAAGTTTCCAGCTGTATGTGTGTTTGTGTGTGTGTGTCTATGTGTGTGTTTGTGGGTGTGTCTAAATGTGTGAATGTGGTTGCATGCATGTGTGTGTCAGAGAGAGAGAGAAAGTGTGTGTGGTATTTAATTAGAACAGTTTTGGCATGTGAATCCAAGTTACATTTACACCATGAACCAGGGATGAAACCTGGTATTCATGCTTAAAAAAAAACAAAAACCAAACTGACCTTCACAGATTTCTTCTAAAAATATCCTCAGTCAAACATATCTAAATTTCAACTGACTTTATGGATTCATTACAATTTTTCTGATGTTATTAAAATGATGGAAAGATTTGTTTTTCTTTGAACTGTCATCTTGCAGTTTCTCGAATACATTCATGTTTTCCCCCCTTTTGCCCATAATCGCTGAGCTTCTGATGAAATTACATTCTTACCTATTTAGAATTTTATAATATATTTATTTATAGAATATTGTATAGTGCTCTCCATCTGTCTTCTATGACAAACACCTTCCTATTTAGACCTTCCCATGATGTCTCACAAAGGCTTCCAACATATCAGGCTCTCGACCATGCAGGGACGGGGTCTGTGATCTGTAGGAAGAGGACGGGCACAGTTAGAAGGCGGTAACAGTAACACCACTTCACCGAGTTGGGTAGATTCACAGTGTGTGTGGGGGCAGACACTCACTCTACACGCATGTCCTTCGAAGATGCCTTGTGCCTCAGCGTGCTTTGCAGAAGGTCTGAGCAGAGTCTGTCTGTCTTAGACATTGACAGTGATGCATGGCTCCCCTGCCTCACGTGTTAGAGTTACCCCCGCAGAGCTGTCTGGTCTGTGACTAAACTCATTGTCTCTGGTCTCCGCTACACTGTAACCTGTATGCAGGAAGAGATGTGAGGGTCTGTTTTATTCTCTGATGCCTTCCTGGCCTGGAACTGGAGAGCATCATTAAGCGAGTAAACTAAAGAGCCTCTGCCGAACACCTGCTGCCTGGATCTGGACTGGACTTTCGGTTTTTGTTTTGTTTTTTTAATGATTTTGCTATTTGGGCTTTAACATTCATTGGTTTTCTTTCTTTTTTTCTTTTCTTTTTTCTACTGTGAAGTTCAATTTTTTTCTCCCCAAAATGTGTTATCATCCAGGCCATCTAATTTGAGTCTTATCTCACCACTTTCTTCATATTCTTGTCTAAATCTGGGGGCATGGGGCAGAAACTGTTGCTTCCATATGAACATTGTGCATGCTATCATTGCTCTAGCAGACAGGTGCCATTCCCTGTGTCCTCACACTCTAGTGATCTCCCGTATCTACCTGCAGGTCAGATGGTCTTCAGGTTTTACAATCACCGTAATATATTATACCTTGGCGTTTGATTTTTTTCAGCTTGTGATACGTTTAAGAACCTAATGTTAAAGTGAAATTCTAAGCATAAAACTACAACAAATTAAGCATGGCGTAATGTTACTATTTTACCCTCTGAATTTAGGTACAAGTTATGGAAGAGAAACTAAAAGCAGCCAATGTTCAGACCAACGAGTCAGAGATTCGGCTCTATAAAAAGTGTCAAGACCTGGAGTGTGTAATGCAGGAGAAGGATGACATCATTCAGAGCTTGGAGCTGCGGCTTGAAGAGCAGGTTAGGAAAACTGAGTCATCAGTCGCACTCATGTGTGTTCATTAACATGTAACCAAAACATAGCTTAGCTCTGTTAGTATGGAGAACCCTTATTCACAGGATTACGTCACGTGTGTTGGGAAGAGGTACAGGTAAAATTGCCCGTTCTCTTCATGCCTTGAGTGACTCAAGGCCTCAAGGGAAGATCTAGTACTTTTTAGTACGTGTGTGTGAGTGTGTGTGTCCAGGCATGTGCAAGCGTATGTGTGCATCTGTATGTGCGTGTGTGTGCGCTGCTGTGTGTAGAGGTCATAGGGTAGCTTACAGGAGTTGGCGCTCTCCTTCCGCCGTGTGCGTCCTGGTGATGGACCTGACCTCGCGAGTGTGGTGGCTTTTCTTGTGGATGTCTCTCTGGCCCCGATCTAGCAGAGTTATAGATATATCGGATATATACCGTTATGTTCAGACTTTAGGGCTTGAATGCAGTGTCTTTTCATTGGGGAATATTTATTTTTAACAGGCACAAAACATTTGCAGCCAAACTGGGTACAGTAGTGCATGCCTGTAATCCCAGAATTCTGGAGGCCAGACGTAGAAGGATCATCAGTGTGAGGCTGGTCTGGGCAACTGAATGACTCTACCTAAAGAAAAAATATATATGTATATATACACATCATTGTACATATTTATGTTTGAACTAATCTTCCTGCTTAAAAGCATACAGTTTTCAGCTGCCTCAAATGAACACGTTTTATGACAAAAATTCCCTAGGAGTTAGGTGTAGTATCTCATCCCTATCATCCCAGTGCTTGGGACACTGATTCAGGAGGACTGCCATGAGTTTGAAGCCAGTCTGGGCTACATACTGAATTAAAGGCCAGCCTGGGTTATAGAAGGAGACCTTATCTCAAAAACCAACAAAAATTTCATTAGGATTAAATGACTACTTAGGTAGCCATTTAATATCATTTAAATGTGACTGATATGTTTGTTAAACGCATTAAAATTTTCATTCGTTTTTCGCTTCTCTATGGGGTCAGTGTTTTGAGCCAGCGGTTTTCAGCTTCCTAGCTGCCAAATAATTTATATGGTATTCACAGTCTCTATAGTCCCATCCATTGTGATTTATAGTGTATCCTCAGTCTTTGTAGTTTTGTGACCAAAGCCAGGTTTTAAGTTTCTCTCTCTATTTTTTTTAAACTATTATTTGAGGGAGTAAATAGCCCTGCTCTTAAGCAGATTTGTATTCTCCTCCCATCTTAGTAGACCCAATTCTACTGGTCAAGAATTGGTTTATTTCGTTGATATAGTCAGAGAGAGGATTCACTTCATCTTAGTATCTGAGAGAAACTGAGGAACACCACTTGAATTAACGGTGCTTGCAGGACTAGACAGACACTTCCTGTTGCTTCAACAAAACACCTGGCTAAAGCAACCTGAGGAAGGGAGGGTTGTTTTATTTACAATTTGAGGCTATAGTGAATCAGCACAGGGAGGACATGGCGGCAGGAGCGCGAGGCAGATGGTCGGTCACCTTGAGTCTGTAGTCAGGAAGCAGAGAGAGATGACTGGCGCTCAGCTCACTGTCTGCTTTTATTCAGTCTATGGAATGACACCATCTGTGTTTAAGGCAGTCAACCCGCACCAGCTAACCCAGTCTAGAAAATCCCTCAGACAAGCCCCGGAGCTCCTAAATCCCGTGAAGTGGACAGTCAGATTTTTCATCACATCTGCATGTGCCGTTTGGTTTCTTACTATATCTGCTGAACAGTTTTTCCTTCCTTCATTCTTCCTTCCTTCTTCCTTCCTTCCCACTCCCTTTTCTTTCTCTTTGTTTTTAACAAGATCTACTGTTCAGGCTGGCCTAGACCCCATGATCCTCCTGCCTCACCCTCCAAGGGCTAGGATGACAATCATGTACCACCATGCCTGGTGATTTGTGGCTTTTAAAAATCAATTCGGTAACTTAGAGGGAAATATGTTAACCTGGAAGCAGGTTTTAAGTGGATTTGCCTTTCATATTTTTATGATGTAATGTCTCCAAGCCAAGGAGCTTACAATTGAACTAAACAAGCTGTTGATGTTATTTCAGAAACAAGTGAGAATGCAAGAAGCTAAAATAATAGAAGAAAAAGCAGCTAAAATCAAAGAATGGGTGACAGTTAAGTTAAATGAGGTACTTATTGCTGTTTTCCTTCATTTTCTTTTTTTAAATTAGTGTTCAGGATATACAATCATGAGTGAGACATAAAATTATGATCAGTTGGTTATAGTCCCATATTTTGGTAAACTTGTGATAGACTGCTTTCATTTTAATATCCATTATATTTTAAATTTAAAGCATTGATAGACTTATGTTGGTGACTGTGAACAACCATATTATAATAGGTTAGTTTAATATTATTATGAATATTACATGTATATGCCATAAAATTAATAGGTTTGACATCTGAGAAGCACAGACTAAATGCTGAAACAGTTGTTTTAAAATTATTTTACAGTGGAAAATGCATAGGGTTAAACTTTTAGCTCTGAAGAAATAAATATTGATGACATAACTGTTAGGGTTGATAGCCAATGCTAATGAGTTCAACAATTTGCAAATAGCGTAATTATATATTGTTACTTTCTAAATTTTATAATTTATTAATGCAGTTTAAAGTGTTATTTTGGGTTAAAGAATACCATTCTGCTCTCCTAGCTGGAACTGGAGAATCAGAATCTTCGTTTCATCAATCAAAACCAAACTGAAGAGATAAGAGCAATACAGTCAAAATTGCAAGGTACAAATATTTTCCCTAAATTAGCTTTTTGGACTTACTGGCTATGTAGGAGTTTGCTACTAGTGTTTTGAGGGAGGGGGGCTTGTGTATACTGCAGCACCAACAAGAAGCATGTATGGACTGTACCTAAGCCCCATACACCTGTGTACCCAATGGGTATCTTAGTATTCATATGGGTTCCCCAGTAATGGGAGCTGGGGCTACCTCTGACAAGGTTGCATGCTTTTCAATCATTTCCCCCTGCCGGGGCTGCCTTGCCAGGGCACTGTGGAAGAGAATGTGCTCAGTCCTGATGCAACTTGATGTGCTGAGATGGGTAGGTGGTGGTGGGGGTCCTTTTATCTGAGGAGTAGGGAAGGGAGGAAAGGGAGGAGAGGGAGGAAGGGTGGGACCGGAAGGAGAGAAGGAAGGGGGCTATGGTTGCGAAGTAAAGTGAATTAATTGGTTAATTAATTTAAAAATGCAATATGTGCACCTGTATCGAGGTGCACTTTCAAGAAGGCTTTTTGGCATCATGCATTCCAAACATGTCCCTGAATTTGGGGTTCCTTGAAGGCAGCTTGGGGTGGTTCTTAGGCACCTCTTCTGGTTGTTGCCAATGCCACAGAACTCAGTTCACCCACACATTATCAGTGCTTTAATCTCCCCAGGGTTAAGTCTTCCAGGGGGAAGGTACTTCAGGGGAAGTACCCATTGATAATCCATTGATCACTCCAGTAGGCCTGGTCTGTTTACAAAAGCATTCAAAGGCAGGAGTTTCTGCTCAGTGCCAGAGTGCTGGCATAGCATGTGTGAGGTCTCTGATCTCAGGCCAGCACCACACACACACACACACACACACACACACACACATTTCACCAAGAGTTCATTATAAAACTTGACTTCTCCCTGCATTGAAGTGTCCTGCACCTGGTGGTGATGGCCACCCTCCATTTATGACTGTTGAGCACTTCAAATGAACTGAATTTAAACTGTCTGTTCATCGGAATTTACTTTTAAGTAGCTTTGCCATGCTAGAGGCTGCCACATCAGCCAGACACAACAAAACGTTGCTGAATAATTGGAAAACGGTAACGCCGATCTGAGTATTTAATTTCAGACAGTTTTGCTTTAGAAAAGAAATTTCAATTTTTGCTTCAAATCACTTTTTCTCTATTTATCCATTTTGTGTGTGTGTGAGTGAAGGTCAGAGGTCAACTTCACATATCTTCTTTCATCACCTCTACCCTGTTTTTGACACAAGGTCTCTCACTGAACCTGGAGCTCATTGATGGCGGTTAGCCTGGCTGGCTAAGAGCCCTAGAGATGTGCCAGTCTCTTCCCTCACACCCAGGGCGGGGTTGAAGGCTTGTGCCTTCACATTTGGCTTTTATGTGGATATTGGGGATCCAGACTCAGACCCTCAGGCCCAGCAGGCCCTTTGCCCCACTGAGCCCCACCAGCTTCCTTCTCATGCTTTTTTGACCATCACAGAAATTGTTACAGCCTGAATGTTTTGAGTAGAATGATGCAATACAAAAATTCCTTTGTATTTTTCGTTGTGTAGTTTGCGTTCCTTTTAACTTGAAAGGCTTGTGTAGCTGTCGTGTGACGAGAGGGCTCTTTAGCACACCACTCTTGTGGTAACCTCTCAGTTGCACACTTGGATGAAGAAGAGGTGACCGCATAGCTGTGTGTGACTTGTGCTCACTCAATGAACTGACGAGACAGGTCAGAGCAGGGCTGCCTGACATGTCCTCAGCTCAGACTCGGCCTCTCCTTTCCTTCTTTGTATCCCACAAACCTTGCATCTCACATAATGCACTAAGAACGTTCTGGTGTGGTTGAAAGAACATTTTTTTTTTTCAAGAGAGGGGTTTCTCTGTGTAACCCTGGCTGTCCTGGAACTCTCTTTGTAGACCAGGCTGGCCTCGAACTCAGAGATCCTCTGCCTGCCCCTGCCTCCCAAGTGCTGGGATTAAAGCCATGTACCACGACACCTAGGTGAAAGAACATGAATTTGTTTTAAAGATTTATTTATTATTTATACAGCATTCTGCCTGCACGTGTGCCTGCCAACCAGAAGAGGGCGCCAGATCTCATTATAGATGGTTGGATGGTTGTGATCTACCATGTGGTTGCTGGGAACTGAACTCAGGATCTTTGGAAGAACAACCAAGTTTCTTAACCTCTGAGCCACCTCTCCATCCCACAAGAACATGAATTTTAAAGACAATTTTAATGCCTACTACTTAAGAAAAACTGTTATATCTCTAAATATTTAATATTTTATATTAATGATGCTGTGATTAATATTTTTCTATTAGTAATGTTGTGGGAATATGTAAGGGAATATATAAAGTTGTTGATTAAACGATATGCTTTTGGAGGGGGGAGGGGCCAGGTCTCTCTCACTGTTTATCCCTGGCTACATTTACCTCCTCGGCCTCTTGAGTGCTGGGATTACAGCTGTCAGCCACTACCCCTAGCAAGACAATCTGTTTAGAGCATGTTAAATGCTTGCTTTCATTTCTTCCATCTGAATTATTTTAAAAAACGCTGTTATAACTGATTGAAGGTTTCCTGTTTTCACGACACTCACCCTCACTGAAATAGGTTGGATATGCCAAGTCTATTTCGAAAACATTGTCAATTTTCCTGATGTCCTGGCTTGCAATTCTAGTCTCTATTGACAGTCTTTGGGTGTTAAATACTAAGAGATTCTGATCTTTGGAAATTAGGCTTAGACTGGAACAGAGATACCCTATGCTGGATTTAATGTACATATATATATATATATATATATATATATATATATATATCAAACTATGTATATAGTGTACATATTATAGACATATACAAACATGTATATATTACACACATGCACATTCACATACATACATACTCATACATAGGCATGCAGTTGTTTGTTAGTATCTACAGAGGACCAACTCTGGGATTCACACAGATCTAAAATCTGAGGCTGCTGCAGGTCCCTAAACAGAATGGCCCAGTGTTTGCATATAAGGTGTTACACAGTGAAATTTTAAATCATCTTCAGGTTACTGCAATGCCTAGTTAACGGTAAATGTCATGTAAACATTTGTTGGATTGGATTTTTTAGAGACTCATAGTAAAGCATCTGTACACATTCAGTAGCGACCATTGGTTAAATCCACAGATGCAGACTCTGTTTACTTGAGGACCAGTTGTCCATAATCACTACTATATTACTGTGAATCAATCCTGTGATGGATGATCAACATAAAAGAATTTAAAAATACCGCTGAAGAAATATGCTAGAAATATTTTTTCTTCACTATCAGTTGCTATTCAGCGTAACCCACTTCACCTTCAGTTGCTTGAGGGCCTCTGAAATGAACTCCCTCAGGAGCTTTGCTCCCTGGGTCCTCCATGCTTTTGATCTTACAAGCAACAATGCTAGCCATCCAAAAGATGGACTGAACCCATGATTAGCAAATTGAGTACTGAACTCAGGTCACCAGGCTTGACAGCAAGCACCTTTTCCCACTGATCCCCCTGCCACACACACACACACACACACACACACACACACACACACACACACATCAGATTTAGGGTTCTATGGTATTGGGACTTCCATTTATTATACCTAAGTATAAAATGAAATTCAGTCTTTTTTTTTTTCTGGTGTTAAAAGTGGTTTATTCAAGTCCTTATATCTTTTGTTCAATGTCTAACAAACGGCTATAAAAATTCAACTCCATTTTGCTTAATGACCTTGCAGAACTCCAAGGAAAAAAGGTGTCTTGTGTCTCCACACCAAAACTCTCAGAAGGGCAGCGCCTGAGTGATTTGACGTTTGGATGCTTCTTGTCCCGAGCAAAGAGTCCTCCTCACGTAGTAAGATTCGAGGGAGTGAGCAAGACGGCATCGAAAGACCTCGAGTTCACCGAAGAAAAATGCGTAGAAGGTACTTAAAAACTAGAGCAGTCTACCTCAGGCTTTTCCAAAAAAGAAAGCATCATTCACTAAGATTGTTATTCGAATTATGTTTACTTTTCCAAGAAACCTTTTCATCCCCTTTCCACTGTCCAGCAGTCAGCGGCGCGTGGCTGAGGTTGCCTGTGCCGAAGCTCTGACTCACTCGAACATGTAACCAATACCTGCCACAAAACACGAGGACATGTTTGTTCAACCTCTCATTCCTTGGTCATGGGGTTCATATTTATGTTCTCAAAGTTCCTTTTCCACTCAATCTGAAGTTTTAAGTCATTATGTATGAAGCTGTTGGTACATTTTATTTCTCACAGTGCTAACAAATGGAATCCATCTCTAAAGGCATTTAAAGAGGTTATTCTGATTATTAAAACACATTTTAGTTAAACAGAGAGTGGTGGAGGAATGCTTTTTCTGTGAGTTTGTGCATTTCGTGTATTGAAATGTGAACACAAAGTCTGTTGCTTAAGTTATGGCTTCCTGCTTACGGTTAGGCATACACGATGCTGACTTTGAAGATTAGTGGGAAGGGTTGTCTTGGCTTCATAGGCGCAGTAGCATTAATAATTGCTTCTAAAGTGGAATTAAAGGCATTGGGGTTTTTTGGCAGCTTCTTTGATGGTCAAATGCACCCCACTTCACACTCTGCTCTTTTTCTCTTTAGATTGTTGACAACTTTCGTTCCCCAACATACTTGTTTGTAAAAAGCAATTTATTTTTGCTACAATTAAGTTGAAGTATATGGGTGTTTTTTTTTCTTTTCTTATGTAAGTCCCCCCCTTTTTTTTTCAAATGTGCTTATAAAGGTTTAAAACTAACAAAGAATAGTATACGTTGCCCTTATTCACGTGAAATTGCCAGTCTCTACAGTGTAGTTGTGACAGGCAGGGGAATGCACATATGCACATAGTTGTGTAACCGTTTCATTATTAAGGCAACCTGCCAATGTCGTGTATCTCCCTCTAGAGATGGAAATTGCAGAGAAGCCTGCTGATAACCAAGTCCAAGAGAGCAACAGAAGCCAGGGAAAGTTGCATGAGACTTCTCGCAGCTCAGAACAGAACCGGAAAACCAGAGCAAGCTTTGCGACAGATGGTGCCACATCCCAGAATTCCGGGCTTCCAGGGAGTGACTGGAGTTCTGACGAGGAAGACAGAAGCAAGGGCAGATCCAAGCCCAGGCGCACGTCCACTCTTTCCAGCCACACGTCTGAGGAGGGCCTCCAGTGTGGTGAAGCGTATCTCACTGCATCGGATGACAGCAGTTCTATTTTCGAAGAAGAGACTTTCGGCGTTAATGGGCCAGAGCACAAGAAGCTATATTCTTGGCAGCAGAAGGCACCATGGAAAGCTCAGAATAGCCTTGCAAAGGGGAATTCCCAGTCACGGATAAAGGAGCAAGATAGTTCCTCAGATGAACTGAACAAGAAATTTCAGTCCCAAACACTGGACTATTCATCCTCCTCAAGTGAGGCCAACACCCCAAGCCCTATTTTAACCCCAGCGTTAACCCCCAAACACCCTAACTCACTGCTCCCTAGGAAAGGAACACAGTTAGTGCCTTCCCTGTACCTGCCACCCCCAAAGCTAAGGATACCCAATGTTTTCAGTATAAGTGTGGCACTCACCAAAAGGCACCTGAGCCAGCCACAGTTGTGTTCGGACCGGATGTTTGGCACGAACAGGAATGCCATAAGCATGATCCGACCACTGAGACCTCAGGAAACGGATCTTGATGTGGTTGATGGAGACAGCTTGGAGGTTGTGGAGAGCATGGACACGGGCTGCGACGATGGGTTGTTTTCCTGTGACTCCCCAGATGGTCCCTTTGCAGATGACCAGGAAAACAGTGATCCTGCAAAGAAGGCCTCAGGCAAACCGCCCACTCCTCCTTTGCACCGCTTTCCCTCTTGGGTAATTACATTCCTGTGTGCAGCTCCCACACAGGGAGCTTCTTTCAGCAATCTTCTCAGGCTTCACACTCCTGTCCCTGTTGCTTTTCAAATCCAGTGTTGTTCTGACAGTTTCTCTTCCCCAACCGTGTTCTGAATGATTGAGAAACAAGACAGGTGGGAATTTAAAATATGACTTTACTTATAGATAGGAGTGTTGGAGGGCAGATGAGCTTTTCAGTATTAGAATTTGGAATTAGATTTGTGGACCCAGGCCTAAGCTGGAGCTAGATCACTGTGGCTTCCTCCTGGAGGAAGGGAGGCCAGGCCCCCTCTAACTCATCCAATATGAAGCTTCTTGTTTCCTCAAGGAAAGGAGAGAGGATAGGTGCTGGGCTGTGCATGCAAGGGAAAGTGAGTGGGTGTAGAGAGCTCAGCGAAACAGAGGGAGGCATGATGGGGTGGGGAGGAGGGGTTCCTCTAGCCAAAACTTTAGAGCGCTTCTGCAGGAGCACCTCACCCTATCGCTTGGGGGTTCTGAGCGTCGTTAGTCACTTGATGTAGAGAGATTTCACTTTACCCGCCACGAACGTGTAAATCCAGTAAATATGTCAGCTACAGCATCTTCCGGCTAGTCTAGAAGGGACTTGAGCTTTCTATGAAAACATTGACTTTGACTACAAAACCAACCTATCAATTACGTGATATTCCTTGGGACTATCTACATTGCTTGATTTCTTTAAAAGCAAAGTCTGTCTTTAAACTTGCAGGTGCATGTGTTAACGGAAAGCAGGCGTGCCATAGTGCACGTGTAGAGGTCAGAGGACAACCACAGGAGCTGGTGCTCTCCCACAGAGCAGGTTCCGAGGATCAAACTCAGATTGTCACACTTAACTACAAGCACCCCCGGCCTCTGAGCCTTCTCACCAACCCCAATATTCTATACTTGAAATTAAGTGAATTGTTATGTTTCGTAGACTTATGTTTAACCTCTGGCTTCAAAAGAAACATCTGGGTTGCCAGAGATCTTGGGTACCTGAATCATGTTCTTTTATTGTGGTTGTTTTATTGAGTAGCTGCTATAACTGTAAACAAATTATGATGACCATGGCTTTCCTAATATAAATTCAGAGTTAGAGATGTGTCTGCTTTCTCTTTACTTTCAAGAGGACATTTTTCCTTTTGGGATCCACATGAAGTGGCCTCCTGTTTATTGCTAAATTCTTCATGGCACAAAAAAAGTAGAAGCCAATGGCACGTGGGTCTCCAGAATTCTAGTTATGCCACCCTTAGGCAACAAGGAGCCAAGATTTGGCTTCTTTTGTTATGTTGAAGACTTCCAGAGATTGATGTTAAGCTTTCAAGTTCATTTTCTTTGGCAAATTTTACCTTTTCTTTCTCTTCCCCTTTTCAAGCTATTTTTGGTCCTGGAAAAGTAGTATTTTGCTTTTCAAATTTTCTAATGAACTTAGCACAGGCAAAAGTTCCTTGGCATTTTCAGGTTTCCAGGTGATGTTCAGCAGCTTCCCTGGCTGAGTTGGAGTATCATGCAGAACGTAATAGTCACTCGGGTAGGACAGCTGTGATCCAGAAATACCTCTGACGGCCTGCTCTCATGGCGACCTGGTTTGGCTCAGCTTGTCCTCGCGTCTATGACTACGCTTTCCACTTCCTTCCTGCTTCCAGTTCTCTCATGCTCACATGGACTCCAGCTGCCTCGAAGCTCCCGCTTAGATCGCCTTAGCATGGATCTCTTGCAGTTAGGCTCTGTGTGATCCACGTGTTCAGGGAAAGCACAGCTTCTCCATTCTGTTAGGCACACACCCCATCATGAGAGATCTTGCGCCAGTATTTGTAGCCACTGGCCAGCCTAAAGCGTGGCATCAGCTGTCTACTGTTTAGACCTTTTATTAAAGGCATGGCACGTCGATTTATGCACTGGGAACCACTGGGGACCTTTTTCTTGTTAGCTAGTGATTCTAACCTCACAGTGTCCATTTCAGAGCTCTTTCTTGGAGAAGAGGAGCAAACACAATAGGCTACTTTTGGAACAAGATAATAATTCTACTGTAACCCTCAGCTCCGTTTATTACTTGACTCAAAATCTATTTTGTTTTACCGAAATGTACACTGAAATAAGGAGATAGTAGCATTTAATGCTCTGCTATGATTCTCAATGTAAGGTTTTTTCCCTTTTCTCTTTTTCTAACCATGGTAATGCATATTAAAGAAGATCTGAGTGTAATCAGTGATTGTGAGCAGTTTTTGGCTTCATGTTACAGCTATTCAGTGTTTCCCCCTTTAAAAAAAAACTTTTAACCACATGTAGACTGTTAGGACGTTAAAGACAGTGTTTATCTACCTCAGTAATTGTGAATAATCTGTCTTGTTAATGATCAGGCTTGTTCTTACATTGTCTACAGAAGTCAAGATACCAAGCGAAAGTTTGGGAACAAAAATAGATAATGAAATAACTAATGAATGGGGGAAAATCTCTACAAGTTTTCCACAATGGTGTATTTTATTGGCACTGATGAGTTTTGTGATAACTAGAATTTTGCACTCTAGTGGGTGTTATCTGAAGGACAAATGAAAAATGTGCTCAGTATCATAATTTCTTGGCTGTAAGCACCTGGTTCAATCTCTCTTTTGTATTAGGAAAGCAGAATATATGCTGTAGCCAAGTCAGGCATTCGAATGTCTGAGGCCTTCAATATGGAGAATGCTAATAAAAGTAAGTGGTTTGCTTGTTGTGATGTGGGTGAGCCTTGAGGGCTTGTGCGTGCAATAGCTCAGAGCAAATGTGGGGTGCGGCCACAGAGAGGCAGGAGCGTAGGATTCTGTGTTGACGAGGTTATCAAAGCAACCAGTTACAGAAACAGAATAAAGGAGGATGGTCACCAGGAGCTGGGAAACTGGGGAAAGGGAGATGCTGTTTAATGGGTTTAAAATTCCAGATGAAAAAGTTTCAGAAGTCTGTTTTACAACAAGGTGAATAAACACCACCCTAGCGAATTATACACTTAAAATGGTTAAGACGATAAATCTTATTGCTTGTGACTTTATAAAAAAAAAAGTGTAATAAAGGGGTTTTTAAACTATTTTGTATTGCTGTTTCACTAGGCAAGACTTTCCTAAATGTTTAATGTTACTGGAATAATGGAATTATGTAAGCGTTTAGGTTGCTGGTTTGTTCTAAAACTGTTGTTCATTTTATTTAGGATAAAGTCATAAATATATTCAGTCCTGATTTAGAATGAACTTCACTATGTTTTTACCCCCCCCCCAAAAAAAAAAGCAAAGTAGAGAGACATGGGCATTTTATCTGTTTAAAGCTACAAAAATTATAAAAATATTGGATTCTATGTCATTTTCCCTGCTTCCTTCAAAAAATTATTATAGAAACAGTCATTTCCACTATGAAAAATTAAATAAGGCCAACACTTGGTAGGTAAAAGCAGGAGCTAAAGGCTAGCCTCAACTACATAGTTGGGTTCAAAGCTAGCCTGGGTTACATGAGATCCTATCTCAAAACATAAGACAAAAAAATTCACACACAAGTGTCTAGAATAAGGAAAGAAACCCCACCTTGGCTCTTTTTACCTCCCACCTATCTGCCTTCCAACTGGTTCATCTAGAGAGGTAACATCAGCATCAATGTTTTTAGTTATCTTCTGTTCTTAATATTTAGGAAAGTATATTCTAACCTGCCAACACTGGAGTCTCCTGATGACAGATCTTAAGGATGATAATGGTTTAATGCCACGTCAGAGATAGGGCTCCAAATCCTCAGAGAACATCTTCAAAGAACCCACTTCCTGAATCAGCCGGTGGTCTTTTCTGTTGAGCTCTGCACAGCTAAGCACAGTGGAGAGGCTAGAGAAAGGCATGCCTCTTGCTGTCAAAGGGCTAACAGTCTCACTGGGGAGGTGGCATATGTGAGGAAATGATGACCCATGGGAAACAACATTTGTAGCTGGGTGTGGTGCCTCTAATCCCAGTGATCAGGAGGCGCAAGCAGGAGGATCACTACCAGTTAGAGGCTAATCTAGAATCCACCTACAGTAAGGCTCCAACAGAAATAAACAGAAATTTAAAAAGCCGAGATGTAAATCTGGAAATCTCATAGCTCATAAAGCAGACCAATATTAGTAGGCACCTGTTAATCGGATTTATTTTTAATATATATTCATAGACAATAGAGCAGTGTACTAGCTGGGAGGTTTTCTTTAATGTTGTTTTTTGTTTCAGATTCTGCAAACATACCTTCATGCTCTTCATCAGGCCTTTATACGTCTCTGATCTACAAGAATATGACAATCCCAGTGTACACAACGTTAAAGGGGGTAATGAGTGTGTTTCTCACTGTTAGACATTCGGTTCTCTTCAGGATGTTCGGGGAAACTTCCTTCAAGCCCCAGATTTCACTCGCAACATTTTATACAGATTCCCCCTTTGCACAGCCTTAAAAGTTAACGTTAATATATCATAAAGAAGAAAGGGAAAGGCCTGGAGAAGATGATTATGATGTGATTCTCCTCGCCCTCACCCCAGGCAGTTAGCATATTATTAATGATGCAATGGAAACTCCTAATTTAGAAAAGCCTTTGTGCTCCTGCCAGCGTCCCCTTCTTTTCCAGAAGAACCTAATTAAAACAAGGACTGTCAGATACGGACAGTCTTATATTTTCAGGAATCTTTTATAATTGACAAATTCCTAGCTAATTAGAATCTAAGTTTTTGAAGATGGATTTTCATGATGTCAAAATACGCTGTTATCTTTCTTAAAAAAAAAAAAAATGCGTCCATGATCGTTTTCTGTAAAGCATCGTGTGTCTAGACAGGACAGCGACTTCAGAGGTGGAAACAAGGGGTCTGTTCTGCTTTTCTTTAGAAGGCGACGCAAATAAGCTGCAGCCCTTTCCTGGATGATTCCTCTGGCTCCGAGGAGGAGGACAGCTCCAGGTCCAGCTCCCGGACTTCGGAGTCGGACACGCGCAGCCGCAGTGGGCCCAGCAGTCCCAGGGCCATGAAGCGAGGTGAGGGGAAAGCACGCTCACAGGGCGCAACGCCAGCACGTTCTGAATACTGATTCGGGACTCGCCTCCGTAGGATTTCTCAGAATACACTCTCTAAATCACAGTGAAATGGGACGGAGACATTTATATCCTAGTGGTAATTTTCTAGTTCATTCTCTGTGGTTTCACACTAAACAGTCTTTCATCATCGCCTTATTAATGTTACTAGTATATTACACTATTATAAAAAGAAACAATTGGCCAAGAGGCAGTTACTTTTTTTTATAGTTACCTTGTGGCATGCTGACTGATTAGCGGGAAAGACTTACTATTGTTAAATGTCAGAAAACACACCTGCGGGTTTCTGTCGGTTAATCTGACAGTAACGTGGAAAACAAGTACGACTTTACTTTGTGCATACATATAACTTTTACCAAGTTTTGAAAAACTGTATGTGTGCATGTGTGTCTACTCCACACATGTGAAACCCAGAGGACAACCTCAGTGTCGCCTCCCTCTCTGAGACAAGGTATCCTGTGGTTCAGGCTTTAGTACAGCAGGCTAGCTGGCTGGCAGCCTCTAGGAGCCCTCTTGTGCTGGAGTTACTACCAGGTCAGGTTTTATGTATTTAGGGGATATGAACTTAGGCCCTCGTGCTCATAGGTGCAAGTGCTTTCTCCATTGAGCTGTCTCCCCACCCCAGCTTTGAGTAACTTGTGTGCACAGGAAGAGGTTACAGGGAGATCTGATCTCAGCTAGTGGAACCTGTACTTAAGGAAAGTCTCTGTGGCCTTGTATATGTGTTAGTTTTCAAACTGGCTCGCTGGGAACCGCTGTTGCCTTCAAAGCCATAGGCTGCAGCTGGCGTGGCTAAGCTTTCTCAGTGTTAGTGTTTGGGCTTCCTCCAGTTTCCTTGGCTCTCTGTGGTCAGTCAGGTTATGTCACATTGTTGCCAAGAATACAGCTGCTCTGTTCTTCATAGTAGCTGACAGGCTACTCTTTTATCTTTGATCTCATCCTCTCCTTTCTCTTCCCTTGCTCACAGACCCTGTTGTTTATAATTTAAAAAGAAAATCTATTTCGTTTTGAACTTGATCAGTAGCTCAAATTTGCTTTCCACAGCCTTTCCTCTTGTGCTCACCTCCGGAGTGCCAGGCTTACTCATATGTGTGTCCAAGCCTCCTCATCACTCTGCTCCAGCGTGGCTTCCCTAGTGGGATCCGCCCTTCCGTGGTTGTTCAGATTGCAGTCCTTGCCCTTCCGGGTTGCCTGCTCTTCCGGGTGCTTTAGTCTGCTCCACATTTCGTTTTTATAGTTCTCACTACCTGCTGGGCATCCCTTTCCCTTCACTGGACTCTGTTCCAAGAGGACTCAAACGTTCCCTTTGTTGTAGGCCATAGCCGTAGCACCGAGGACAGGGCTTGGCACATTGGCCTTGGGCTTGGAATCGGAGCTTTGCCCTCCAAAATCAGCCCTGACTAGTTATTTGACTTTGCATAACTTCTGCCCCCTCTGGGGCTTTGACGACTTAAACAGTGAGGACACCGGCCAGGATGCTCTCTGAGGTTCCTCATGCCCGGCGTTTGATTCATACATGAACAAGTAGGCAAAGGCCAGCATTCTATTATTGCATGCCCTTTAGCAAACACTTTTTAATGCAGAATGGCCTTAGTTTTTTATTTCAAAGTAATTAGACATCTCCGGTTGTATCTGTCATCTGTATATGGCTTGTAACTCACAAGACACTTTCTAGAGAGTCAACTCAGTTGGTGTGAAAAATGTTCCCTCTGCTTTTGCTTCATGGTTGTTGATAGAAATAATATGCTTATGTCTTTAAGACTTATTGCTTATCTTTAACGAGGATTTTTAAAGCCAGTAAGCTGGTTAATAGTTTATTGGACTTTCATGAAAAATACTATTGAGGTATTTGTCTATGTGTCAATATAAAATACACATATTTTTAAAAATCTTTACTAAAAGATGCACTAGTAAACTTTGATAATATTTTATATATGTGAGAAAACTCACAATTCCAATCATACCAAAATATTATTTATGTTCTTTTTCTTGGAAATTTGCATGGCGGTCCCAAACCCTGCATTCTGTTTCCTGCAGTAGAAGTCTCCATGGCCGGAGGAATGGGAATAAATCTTGGGAAGGGCGGTTTATGACGTAGGAGTTAGTGTTGTCTGCAGGAGAACTCGCGGCTGCTGTTGGTCCAGGCCAGTCTGAGATACTGACTCGATTTACGTGTTTGCTTTCCTAGGCGTGTCTGACTTGTCCGTGGCTTCTGAAAGCGACTACGCCATTCCTCCCGACGCCTATTGCGTTGACGCTGAGTGCTCGCAGCCCGAGCAGAAACTCCCTAAAACCTGCTCATCCTCCAGTGAAAACGGGAAAAATGTAAACGTTGGATCAGACTTTGAAAAAGAAATTAATGACTCTTTTAGCTTTTCCCAGAAGGAAACAAAACCTCATTTTCGAATGTTTTCTTTTCATTAGGAGCCATTAGAAAAATCTGGCTATCTGCTGAAAATGAGCGGCAAAGTCAAGGCTTGGAAGCGGAGGTGGTTTGTTCTTAAAGGTGGCGAATTGCTTTTCTACAAGTCTCCAGTGAGTGGGCGGCGCGCGCCGCTGAGACCCGGATCCCTTACCCTGTAAAGCAGACCCCAGCTGGTTTCTGAGACCCGGATCCCTCACCCTGTAAAGCAGACCCCAGCTGGTTACTCTTTCTGTAATAAACAATTAGTTATGGGGCCTGGAGAGACGTCTCGCACTGGCCCCGCTGGCAGAAGATCCTGGGTCCGCTGCCAGCACACACAGGGCGGGCTCAGGACTCTGTATCTCCAGTCCCAGAGGATCCCGCGGCCTCTCCAGCTGTTACAGGCGCTACGTACACACACACAGACATACATGCAAGCAAAACATCCATACACAGAAAAGAAAACTAAAGGTTAAAAAATTATGAGTTAATGATACAGGACATCTCCAGTAGTTGCTTTTATAGCTGCTGATCTTTCTGTTTGCTTCTCTCTCCTTCTCTGCAGAGTGATGTAATTCGGAAACCGCAGGGCCACATTGAGCTCACAGCATCCTGCAGTATTTTAAGGGGCGCTAACAAGCAAACGGTTCAGGTACACGTCTTTTGGATTTATTATTCCTTTGGTACCATAAAAAAAAAAAAAAACAGTTCTCGGTTGAGAGTAGATTGATTGATGCTTTTTTTTTTTTTTTATTCACTTTAGAATCAGTTTGATGCTCAAAGGCATGTAATAATCCAAGGGTGTTTGGTTAAAACTGTACAAGATTCCTGCAACTAACCTGTACCTTTACTCCTAGTGTTTTTTTATTTAATCTGCCGGGCGTTTTCAGCTCTCAACATATCAAGCCATTTTAGGGGGGAGGATTATCCAGTAAGTGAATTTTGGAGAAGTAGTACTATTGAATTCAAGAAGGCTTGTACTTTAATATGGAATTGGACAATGACAATTAATTCTCCCATAAATTTCAAGAGGGAAGGGGAAAACTATTGACGACCAGAGGCCCCGTGCTGCCCAGTGTCCTCAAAGGTGATGCTGTCTTACCCACACACAAATCTCTTAAATTTCAAACAGGCTCTTGAGATAGTCTGATGTGTCTGAATTCAGACACTGCTTCAGAAATGTTTCAATAACTTTTTTTTTTAATGAGGGGGTGGGAGAGAGAGGCCTTCAAGATAGAGTTTTTCTGAGTAGCCCCAGCTCTCCTGGAAGTCATTTTGTAGACCAGGCTGGCCTTGAACTCAGATCTGAGTGCCTCTGCCTCTTGAGTGCTGGGATTAAAGGCCAAGCCACTATTATGAAGATGATGATGATGATGATGATGATGATGATGATGATGATGGTGATGTTTCGTGCCTGTGAAGGGAAAAATTTTTCTAGAAAGGTTCACGGGTGATGCTTTCAGTGGACCAGGGATGCTCGGGATTAAAATGGATGAATGAAAGAAAGCTCTGACACAGAGCGCTGACTGTCAGGAATTGATTTTAAAGTCCTGAAATATTTGGGAAGTTGGCAGCACCGTTAATTTGAGACTGGGCTATTGTGAGTTCTTGCTAAATGGTCACGTGTAGCACCAAGAATTGGTATTGAATTGTTCTCATTTGTTTTTAGTTTGCTATCCCACTTCTTCTCCCCGTGAAAGTCTTGTCTTGCAGTGTTAGCTTTGGGTTTCTTCATCACCACCTCCAGTCTTCCTGCTCATTCCAGCAACCTAGAGCTTGTCACACTAAAGGGAGAAAAGGAAAGTGACAATTAAAGACATAAAACTGCAGCCCTGGAGTTAATCCTGAGAACAGTGTCAGGCACATGGAAAAGAATTGTTTTTTAAACAGGTCTTGCTTTGGGTTTATCTGTAAAAACAGCATAGGACTGGTCATCGGTAAATAGTGTGTAGGTAGGTGTGTCACACCAGTCCATCTGTCTTCACATTGGCAGAAACCTTTCCTATGGGGTCTGGACACCTTTGGGAGCCTGTGCTGGGGCTGAATCCTGGGCCTTAGCTGGAGCTGCGGCCTCTGCCTTGGTTTGAACCTTGGCCTTTGGTTGGCAGAGTCTACGACCCTTAGCGGTATAGCTTTGAATCCGTTTCCCAAGCATGGGTGAGTGATGAAAGCTAAATGGCTGAGTTTGCAGCTGGGACCCTTTGGCGTCTTGGGCTTAACGGCCGCAAGTGTCACAGGGGCTTTGATGGCCTCTGCTTACTCACTCATTGCCTTTGCGTTGTTTGACTGCATCTTCTTCAGGCCTTTCTTGTTGTGTTTCTTGGCAAAGCACATGCTCCTCAGGAACTTGGGGTCCACCCCTTAAGAGATTCCTATCTTTGTGACCGGGGTTTCTTGATGCCATTTCTGTGCCATTTGTGGGACTGGTTGTGTGTGGTGTGGCTCTTGGGCTTGGCCATATCTGCATGGTAACCAGTGGCTCCTGTGGCGCCTGGAACCGGAAGAGAAAGAAAGGCCCGCAGCACCCAAGAAAAGGATTTTAACTGAATGGTCAACACTCTCACACAGTGGCAAAAGAATTCTACATTTCCTTGGAACCAGAGATTTTAGGTGTACCACGATTGCTTTTCTGTCTATAAGAATGCCTGGCCGGACATGGACTAAGTCATCAGTAGCGCCTCTCTTGTTCCTTATCCCATTCTAGCTTACCACAGAGAAACACACATACTTTCTGACTGCTGATTCTCCCAATATATTGGAAGAGTGGATTAAAGTGTTGCAGAATGTTCTTCGAGTGCAAGCTGCTAACCCTCTTTGCCTGCAGCCTGAGGGCAAACCAACAGCAAAGGGATTGCTCAACAAGGTAGGACTCTGTACACATAGCTGTATCCTAGGAAGCTCTTTCATAAGCTCCATCTGTCATGTTCAGATAATATCTGCATTTAAGATTTTGTTTGGGGGTAGGAAGTGTGTCTTTAAGTATAATGCCCAAAGGGAAACAACCCACAGAGATGGAAAAAAAAAAAGATAAATTTGGGCACATGCAAAAATATAAATGAAAGAATTTGAAAAGGTCATTGAAAGGTGTGAAACCCAGCTAATATTCTTAATATGTAATAAGTGTGGGCTGGCAAAATAGATCAACAGAGAAGAGTGCTTGCTGCTAAGCCCAAAGGCCTGAATTTGATCCCTAAACTCCACTTAATGGAAGGAGGGAACTAGCTCCCACTAGTTCCTCTGACTTCCATACACCTGCTGAAGCATACAAACACACACACACACACACACACACACACACACACACACACATTAAATAAATAACAGAGTAAAAAAATATTTAACAAGCCTTTTCTAATTAGTAACTGAGGAGTGGCTAAAAAAAGCCAAAAGGCACAATGGAAGAGAAGTAGATACAGTAGAACTAGGAAGAAGTAGAAAAGATCAGTGAGCACACTGTGCTATCTCTAAGAATTTTTAACACACAAACTAATAAAATCGTTATAATTTTTAAAATCTGCTCAAAGGAAAGCTTTTTTTTAAAAAAGCTTTTTTAAAACAAAATTGAAACCCAGTATTGAAATAAACTAAGTTTGCTAGAGTGTTACTCTGGAAGACAGTTTACCAGTGTGTGTGTGTGTGTGTGTGTGTGTACATATGTATGTGTGTGTATATGTGTGCCTATGTGTGTATGTATGTGTGTGTATTAGTGTGTATGTGTGTATATATTATGTGTGCCTGTGTGTATGTGTGTTTGTAAGCTAGAAGTTCATGCCAAGTGTCTTTTTCAATCACTCTTCACCTTGTTTGTTTGTTTTTCTCACTGAGCCCAGAGCTCAGTGATCTTGCTAGACTGGCTGGCCAGCAAGCTTCGGGGACCTTCCTGTCTCTGAATTCCTAGCACTGGGATTATAGGCAAACATGCCTGCCCTGACCTTTCGCATGTGCTGTAAGGCTTCATGCTTGTTGTAACTCAGGCTTCATGCTGTGGCAAACACTTTTCTGAATGAGTCATCTCAGTCCTGTTTTGTGTTTTTATTTTTTAAAATTTTTGTAAAATACTCACCATGCAAATGTTTACTTAGTTGTCAAAACTTCCTGGCATTGTGGAAAATATACTTTTTAAAATGAATACAATGCTGTTCAGTCAAGTCCAGTGATATGTGTGTAATAACACCCAATGAAGCCCATTATTTTATATGCTGACTACATTTTTAATTTAAAAACAACCTAGAAAAGAATAGCATACTGTCACTGGGTGGTGGCCCACGCCTTTCATCCCTGCACTTGGGAGGCAGAGGCAGGTGAATCTCCAGGTTCAAGGCCAGCCTGGTCTTACAGAACAAGTTCTAGGACATCCCAGGCTACACAGAGAAATCTTGTCTTGAAAAAAAAATAATAATAGCATACTGTCCCATTCTTCTGATAGCTTCCTAAGCTATTGAAAAAGAGGGGTTTGTAAGCTTATTAATAATGACATTTAAAAAGCACAATTACTGATGCATAAGAAGGTCATAAAGGACCAACGGGGTATTGCAGCAATGACTCCTCAGAGCCTTGACTGCATTGCATATCGGAGAGGAGTTATATAGTTATATCAACTGGCAGTGGGCAGAGAAGCCAGCCTCTGGGAGGAGACGCGTGAATGATAGAGCAGAGCTCCCTGGGTTAGCAACCTAGGAGAAGATCAGAGAGCTTTTTGTTGTTTGTCTTATGGCAGGTTAAGTACTTGGGGCTTTGCGAAGGATGTCTAGAGCGCTTCGGGGTTGGTCATGAGGATATGCACACTGTTAACAGCTTGCTCTGCTAAAGATGAGTTTGTAGGAGGCGTGGTGGAGAAGAGAGGCTCAGAGCAGCTGAAGCCGTGGCTCTCATGGACATGAGGCTCTGAACCGTTACGGGAAATGAGAAGGGAGGTTGCATTTGAATGGTGGCTGGCAGTTAAGCCAGTTTGTTTGTAGCGGATGAGGAAGTAGTCAAGGTTTTTTATAGGTGTCCAGATGAAGGATGGACTAGAGATGAACACTCGTGAGAAGAAAGGAGAAGCTTTTGGGAGATGGACAGGCTGTCTGGGAACAAACCGATGTTTCGAGTTCCTTAAAGACACCTTCCCTAAGAAACACCATGATGGCTCAGTGGGTGGAGAAGCGTGCCACATGAGGCTGGCAACCCGAGCTCAACCCCTGGAACCCGGTAAAGGTGGAAATTACCTCTCAGAGCTTCACATGCATATGATGGTTTACACACACACACACACACACACACACACACACACACACACACACATGCACGCATGCACGCATGCACGCACTCACTCACACCCATATCCACACTCACACAGTAATAATAACTAGTTTTAGAAAGCCTAGTAGACAACAGAATGCAGTCTACGCTGGACAAGAGAGAGCTGCCTGAGAAATAAGGGCTTGGGGACTTGGCATCATTTAAGTGACTGTTAGAACAAGGAAAATGAGAGAAATCAACTGGAGGAAAAAATAATGTTGATATTCAGAGTAGGGGATGGAGAATGGAACACTCCAAAATGTAGGGGATGTAGAGGCATGGATGAAAAATCCTGAGGGCCTGGGAGCAGAACCCTTGAGCAGGACGGTGGGGTCATTGGGTCATACCTGCTGTGCTCAGGGACAAGAGCACACTGCAGTGGAAGGTAAGCGGGAGGAACGCGTAGTGAGTCTACAGCCTGCCCACACTCTCCAGAGCATCAGAAAGACTCTGATCTGGGGGGAACATGGGGTCAGAAGAGGAGGAGAAAGACATGTGCCCTGTATTTATAAGCTGAGGGGAGAAGCCAGGAGACCTGGAACATTAAGATCCAGGAGTGAGTGAATGGGGATCAGGGAGAGGCAGGATGGAGGGGCTGGCCGGGCAGGAAGTGAGAAGTGGGGACAAACATCTGTATTTGATGGACAAGGAATGAGGTCACTTATCATGTCCTCGGTTTTCTTGTTCTGCCTAAGGTATTTACTAGGAGTGGGTAAAAGGGTTGGGTGTAATCACAGAAAACGTGATATAGCCAGAGACATTTGGGATTTATACGTATCACTAAGGGTTGACTGAACTGTAATGATTGGAGTTCATATCTTTAGTCAATGCCCATATTAGGAGCAGAGACTTTACAGTGTAAGGACAGGAGCAGAGTGACTTAATATTATTATTACTATTACTATTATTATTATTAAATTTTTCAAAAATGAAATAGATTTGGAAGAATTTTTACAGCAAACATCCGTGTTTCCATCACTTGGGTTCTAAAAGTGTGTGTTTTATTATAAACATTTTTTATTATAAATTTTCAAATATATGAGAGTAAAGCATATAACATTCCTTGACAGATTCACCATCAGTTCCAACAGCTGCTAGCTATGGCTGACATTGTCTCAGGACACCCTCCTGTCACAGTTTTCTCCTCATATCCTCCACTGGGCTATTTAAAGGCAAGCGGAAGTGAAGTTTTGTTGGATGGGTCTGTTGGCGCATAGGAATGCAATTTGGCCATGGGCCCTGGAGCAAGAGTTGCTTTACAATCAAACACGGGATCCCAGGTTGGCAGAGAAGAAAGAGACCAGGCAGGAATAGAGAAACTAGAAGATGGTTGGATCAAGAGACCAGAGGCAGGAAGACAGTCAGAGAATAGCAATGGTCTGAGTGAGAGGGGGCGGGGAGTGGGAGGCGATGATTGATGACTACAGAATGTAAGCTGTAGAAACGAACCTTCTCCCAGTGGAGAAGGGAGCCTGGCTGTGAAGACAAGGGGAGGGAGACATGAAAACTAGCACAGTTGATGGGAAATGGAAAGAGCACAGCCGAAAAGAAGCTTTAGCTGAGGCAGCACGGGGAAGAGCTGGTGAGCCACGCTGTCTAGGCATGACCTGTGTGAAGAGAATAAGTTATTTCAGGCCCCGGGCCTCAGCGTCCCCATCTGTGAAATGGGAGATAATCATAGCGACAACCCCTTAGGGTGTGAAAACCATGAAACATATTTCATTTAAACATGAAAAGTGTATTCAGACAGTACCTGGCACATTGAAAGCACTCAGAAATGCTGGGTATTTCCAGTGGAGTTTCTTGTAGATACTGAAGTCAGCAAGGCTGGTGATGGGATTTGCACTGGAGACACTACAGGAATGAGATGAGGGGAGGGGAGGGGACCAGGGAGCTCGTGTTTTGTGTGTTAACAAAGGCTTAGGGTAAATTCTGTTGTTTGTTCTCAAACTTTCAACATCACTGATATGGAAGGCTTTTGTTAATAAAGCAAGGTCAACAATCAGTTTTTAAGTTATTTGGTTCGCCAAGCTTTTGAGGTTACCTTTATATCTCCATCAGGATTTGTCTAGTAGGATATGTTTTGTGAAAATGCTTTCAGATCTAGAGTTAGAAGAAATTCTAATGTAAGGTGTATGCAGAGAGATGGCCTGTGTTTTTATTTTTAAAGCATGGCTTTTATAGTAGCTGGTTCTCGCTTACTTTTGGTTTAGATGCAGCAATTGTTCTGTTTTAAAAATAAATCATTTCCAAAGTACACAAATTATACTCCGGTTTTGAGGAAACTTCTTTCAGTGCTTTTTAAAGAAAGAGGAAACAGTCCTGCAGAGCACTGTTTAAAAGCCAAGGATATTCCTCTGTAAATATATGTTTCCAAATTTAATTAAACTGAGGCATGTCTTGCCAAATGAAACATTTTTGCTGTTGTTGTTTCTCAAGAAGCGTTCTAAATCCATCAAAACATTAGTGCAGGGTTATTTGTTTAAACCATGGCTTTGGATGCTTAGAGATGAGCTGGTTTTGTGGGTATGAGAAAGGCCATGTATTTGACTCTTTATATAGTGAGGAAGGAAGCATTTATTG